AATCATTCAGGTCTCAACTCAAGATAACTATTGTAGTGAAAACACCAGACTTACACTTTGCTAGAAATAAAAACAAAGAGTATTATTGAAAGATTAAAAAAAAATGTTTCACAAAACAGGGAGACACACACGCACTGGTCAAGATGCGGCAGAGAGAGAGCAGAGTTCATCAGGGGAAACAGGCTGTGCTCACAGGCACAGAGGGGTGGGCAAGGGGGCATGGCAAAAAGTTACAAGGGGTTCGTTACACTACAAACTTTCTTAACATTAATATCTAACCTAACATTAATCTCTCATCTCCTGGAATGTGTTTGACCAAGACATTCTTTCATACATTGTTATGTGACCCTAATTGCTCTCCCTATACTGTGACAGCACACTCCTCCTTTCCACCCCGGATTTCCTGTGTCCATTCAACCAGCTCCTGACCCTCTCTTCCTTCACATCTCACCTCCTGACAGGAGCTGCCCATTTAGTCTTATGTATCTACTTGAGCTAAGAAGCACGCTCTTCACAAATATTTTACGTCCCATAGTCCAGTCTGATCTTTGTCTGAAGAGTTGGCCTCGGGAATGGTTTTAGTTTTCTGGTAACAGAGAGTCCGGGGGTCATGCTTTCTGGGGTTCCTCCAGTCTCAGACCATTAAGTCTGCTCTTTTTACTAGAATTTGAGTTTTGCACCCCACTTTTCTCCTGCTCCGTCAGGGACTCCCGGTTGTGTTCCCTGTCAGGGCCGTCATTGGTGGTAGCCGGGCACCGTCTAGTTCTTCTGGTCTCAGGTCAATGCAGTCTTTGGTTTATGTGGCCCTTTCTGTCTCTTGGGCTAATACTTTCCTTGTGTCTTTGGTGTTCTTCATTCTCCTTTACTCCAGGTGGGTTGGGACCAGTTGATGCATCTTAGATGGCCGCTTGCAAGCTTTTAAGACCCCAGACACCACTCACCAAAGTAGGATGCAGAACATTTTCTGAATAAACTTTGTTATGCCAGTTGACCTAGATGTCCTCTGAAAGCATGGTCCTCAGACCCCCGCCCCTGCTACTCTGTCCCTCGAAGTGCTTGGTTGTATTTAGGAAACTTCTTAGCTCTGGTTTAGTCCAGTTGTGCTGACTTCCCCTGTAGTGTGTGCTGTCCTTCCCTTCACCTGATTCTTGTCTACTGTCTAGTGAATACTCACCCTCCCTCTCAACCCTCATAACCACCAAAGAATATTTTCTTCTGTGTTTAAACCTTTTCTTGAGTTCTTACAATAGTTGACCAAGACATTCTTAACATTAGTAAATCTATTTGCTACATCCTAAGATTTGTTTGTTAAAGAGTTCGGCTGCTAACTAAAAGATCAGCAGTTGGAATTCACCAGCTGCTGTGAGTCGGGATCGACTCAGGGGCAACGGGTTTGGTTTGGTTTTGGTTAAGATTTGTTTGACAAGGCTTTCTGTTAGGAATAAACAGAGTCAGCTTTCTGTCACAGCTGCACGTCTGCGTCTTCTCTTAAAGTAACAGGTTTATGCTTTTAAACTTAGTTACAGATTTACAAAGAGTCAGCAGAAATGGAGAGGAAGATCCCAGTGAGTGAAAACAAAGCTTGACCTGGCAGTCAGGATATTAGAACTAAGACTGGGTGGATTGATGTTTACCTTATCTTAGTCCCAGGGTTGGGAGTCAATCACAGGCTCCAGCTTCATTTAACATTAATTCTATATCCTAACCTCCTGTTGACCAAAGTACCTTCTTGGAGGCAAGTTGTGAAAACATTCTTAACAAACATGTTTTTAACAGGCAGTTCTTCACAAGGGGTCAAGCCCTGATCTTGCTCTATGTTACCAGCGTTAATCTTTTACAGGAAGCAAAATTGTCTTGTCAGAAGAGCAGCAACAGGGATTCTTAGGCCAAAGTGCAGTTTTGATTTAAACGACGGAGGTTAACGTAGATCTGGGTCAGCTATTTTATTTATGCCTAGCACCTCGGGTTGTGGGGTCTGCAAATACTATCATCATGAGGGCTCTCTTGGCCCTCCAAGATAAATTAGCTCCCCACCCCTCACAGCTGCCCAGTCACTGTCACATATCCTGTTGTATTTTCTCTAGAGCCGTTTCATTACATATACGACATTATTTTGTTCACTTATTTATTCAACAACTGTTTGAGTCCTAGTAAGTGCCAGGTACTGCTGAAGGCCTTGGGATGTAGCAGTGAACAAAACACACAAGAGCCCTGCCTTCAGGGAGCTTCCATTCTAGTGAAAGGAGACTGAAAATAAAGGAACGTCAGAAGGTAGTCAGGGCAGCTAGGGGACGTGCTGCCAGTGGGGTTTCTGTTTTAACAGGGTGCTCAGAGAAGGTGTCACTGATCAGGTGAGGTTGGAAGAAGGACCTGAAGGAGGTGAGGAAGTGAGTCACCTAGGATACCAGAAGAAGAGCATTGCAGGCACGCGGACAGTCAGTGCAGAGGGTCTGAGGTCACCATGTGCTCAGCAGGTTGGAGCTGAGAGAGTGAGAGGAACAGGAGTAAGCGGAAAGGTTGGGGTGGGCTTGATCCTATAGGGTCTCACAGGCCACTGGGAGGACTCTGCAGGGGCTGAAGCAGAGGAGTGACGTGACCTGTGTCCTAGTTATGTAGTGCCGCTGTAACAGAAATACTACAAGTGGATGGCTTTAACTGACATTTATTTGCTCACAGTTCAGGATGCTGGAAGCCCAAATTTAGGGCGCCAGTTCTAGGGGAAGGTCTTTGTCTCTTTTCAGCTTCTGTTTGTTTGTTTCTTGGAGATCTCAAGTGGCGTGACATCCATCTTCCTTGTTTGTGCTTGCTGGCTTGCTCGATCTGCTCTTTTACATCTCAAAAGAGATTGACTCAGCACTTCACAGTAACAACAACAGTCTGGCCGCAGAGTCCCTGCTTTTAATCACTACTTTTTGCTGCTGCTGGGTGGACACCCAAGTAGAGAAGGTGTGTAGACGATTGGACATATAGCCTGGGCCTCAGGGGAGAGCTGGAGGCTGGAGACCTATATTTCGGAATCTCCAGGGTATACCGGTAGTAATTCAAGCTATGAGACTAGAGGAGGCCACCTCATCTAGCCCCTGGGGAGTGGGTAAAGGGGAGGTCCAAAGACCTGGCTTTGGGGAACACCACCCTGTAGAGTTGAGGAAATAAGGAGAAGCCCGCAAGGAGATTGAGAAGGGGCAGCCAGTGAGGTAGGAGGAAAAGGGGGAGTTTGTGGTGTCTGGGAAGTTAGGGGAGGAAGCTGGTCAAGGAGGAGAGAAGATCAGCTGAGTCAAATGCTGCTGAAAGACCACAAAAGAGGAGGAGGGGGAGATGACTGCCCATCTGACCTGACAACACAGGAGTCAGTGGTGATCCTGGCAGGCATGGCTTCAGCGGAGTGGAGTGGCTGAGATTCTGCCGACAGTGTGCTCCCCGGGGAGTGTGAGGAGAGGACCTGGCGGCAGCAAGTACAGAGAGGTCTGTTTGCATGTTTACGCTCTCTCTCCACACCAGCATGTAAGAACCACAAGAGCAAGAACCTTGGGTGTATCTTATTCATTTATCTCCAGTGCCTGGCACATTGTATTTGTTGAATCTATGTTGAATGTTATACTAGTCAATATCACCTCCAAATGTAAAACAAACTAACCAGTTACTCTACTGTCCAGTTGATTCCGACTCATGGCAACCCCACGTATTAGGAGCCCATAATTTTCCAGTTTGTTCACATCAGCAAAGAGTAGAGAGGAATGAAAGCACTGGAACGGATTTCCCTGGTTCCTTCCAGCTCTAAAACGGTATGATTCTGTGGCTTGTTCTATCAACCACACTTGTATCACTATAGTAAGAAATTTAATTCTTGTTTGTTTTGGCCAGCGACTGTTAAATGACATGGCTGGAATAAGTGTTTCATTCATAACTGTAACAAACATTTGTTGAATGCCGACAGTGTGTTAGCCTCTCTCCAGATTGTCCCATTTAATAGATGCAAACACAGAGGGCCTGAGGCAGGGGGAGGGTGGTCAGGAGAGGTGATGGGAGTCTCTGACTGCTAAAGTTCTTGGAGGTCCCGGGTGCTCTGATGTGGCTGGAGCTACTGTGTTTGGCCCTGAGGAGGGAAGAGGCCTTGAGTGGCCTGAGGGAGGGCGTTAGCTGCAGCTGCAAGGAACACAGAGCAGCATTCAGCAAGGCTTCTCCATGAGACAGCCCAGGCTGGCGACACAGAAGAGCTGTTCACCCAGCGGCAGGAGACGAAGAGGTGGTCCTCAGGCCCACCACCCAATTTTCCGCCGCATTCAGCGAAGGAGGCTTCCGCTGGGGTGAACAGGACCTTAAAGGAGAGCTGTAGGTTCTCCATTGTGCCCCCTTTGGGCGCTCACATGGCCCTGGGAGCAGGGCAGGGTTAGCAGCTACATTCCCAAGTGAAAACCTGCAGCTGAGGGCAGAGCCGGGGTCCAGAAACCCTGCAAAGAACATGAATTCTGCAGTCCATTCGTGGATTAAATCATCCTCGCTTAACCACCACCCACATCCTTTCTGGAACAGGGCACCTCAGCTTGTCCATGTGTAAAGTAGGGAGAAAAATGGTTTCCCGCAGGTCCAAGGGCACACTGTGCGTGAAAGCGCTTTGTAACCACAAAGCGCTCTTCAGACGTTAGTTACGGTTACAAACCACCAGGCCAGGCCTCCCCTGGCGATTACGGTCAAGCACCCCTGCCCATCTCATCTCAAGCGGCCGACTTTCCACTCATTTCCCCCCTCCCCCTTCCCCTTCCCCCCCTTCCCCCCTCCCCCTTCCCGACACGAGAGCCGCGGGGCGGGAGGAAGGCCTGCGTCTGACGTCGGCACTCAGCCTGCGTCGGAGAGGGGGGACGAGCCGGCGTCACCGCCCCTGAACTACATTTCCCAGCAACACTTTCGCGGCCCCGGCGACGGCCGGAGCAGGGCGCATGCGCGAGAGGCCCCGCCTCAGCTCCGGGGCGCCCTTCGGGACCGGTTCTGCTCGCGGAACCCGCAGGTGCCGGCGCTCGGCTGGGTGCTGTCCTCCCCTCCCCCGAGGCCGGAGGGGCTCAGGTGCCTTGGCTCTGGCCAGTGCCATGATCCGGCAGGAGCTGTCCACATCCTACCAGGAGGTACGAGGCGTGCAGGACGGAAGCGAGTTCCTCGTGCGCCCGGGCGGGAGGGTCTTGGCGGAGAAGGGGAGCGGGCGGCACGGCCCTTCGGCCCGCGGCCGGTGAGCGAGCGGGAAATGACGCGTGTCGCGGGGCGCTCCCTGCCCCTCGCGGTCTGGCTGCAGCCTCATCTCCTCCCACGGCGCTGACCCTCACGGCAGCCCTTTGTCTCCTGTCTGCAGAGCTGCGGGCTGCCGTCCGCTTTCCACAGACTGTCCACCTGCTGGCTCCCGGCGCTGTGAGCTTCGCCGTCCTCCTCCCCCTCCCCCTTCTTCTTGCTCCCCTCCCCC